AGATGGCCTTGCAGAAATAACATCAAAAGATAAAATACAGTAATATCCTCCTAATATTATCTCCATTTCACCAACAGTGAAGTGTTTTTATACTCTTATGTCACCACTCTCTCAGCTGGTGGGTTGTGGCCTGATCCAAAGTGGGTTGCAACAGGAGCACTACCACCATTCAAGTATATGGGAGAAGATTAAGGAATGGATCCCCTAATGCATGTTTGGGTTAAACATGGGTCCTGGGTCTGGAAAGGTTGAAGATACCTGCTCTAGGCTTTGTAGAGAACTGTTTGCTTTTGCGTTTGACAATCAAGATCACGATTCTCAGTACAGTAGTATCATTAAGATTAGTGCTTGCAGGAGCAAAAAAATATTCATGGCTTTTTCCAGTATAGATCTTATCATCAGAGTGACAAGATAAAACCCACCCCTTCCCATTTTGTTAAATATCAAAACAGGCAAACTCAGGAATGGCTTATCATCACTGAAATTGCACTGCCTATGAAATGTAAGTTTGAGGGAAGTCAAGAAGTACATTTTCCTCTGCTGAAAGGTGGCAGGGGGAGCGGGAAAGGAACAGAAATTGAACTGTGTTGTTATTACTGAACTGCTGGCCCTGACAAGACAACAGTTCCATTAGCCATGCTAAGTACAGTCAATAGGGTTAATGGTGATGGCCTTTGTACAAAGATCAGATGTTTGCTAAGTCAAACAGCACATAAGAGTTTGAAAGCAGTCTAATGGAAAAAAGCCCTTGAATACACTTTAGGGGAGAGCATACATCTGGCTTGTCAGAACCAGGCAAAAATAAAGGTCATATTTTCAGTACTTCCAATTCTCCTAATAAAATAACCCTAAGCAATTTTGTGGAAATTTATAAGAGCGTTGAAATAAAAAACAATGTTAACCTTATCCTCACCTACATTAATTTTATCCTTAAAAAAAACAACCCACAGAGTATCTAGTATTACTCACTTGCTGCAGGAGGGGAGCAGAGATTGGGAAATAGCAGCTTGCCGAAAGCATTCTTGTGAGTTTGAACCAGTGACTTCCTGGTTCAGTCATAAGAGCCCTGCCAGATCAAACCAAAGGCTTAAATAGCCAAGCATTCTTTTCCCCAACCAGATGCCTCTGGGAAGCTCACAAGGAGGCCATGAGCACAACTGCATTCTCCCTCAGCCACTGTTATATCCATGGCCCTATACACTAGCATTTGTCCTCCAAGGTTGCTTTCAGACCTTGTGGTAAGCAAATCCTATATAGAGGATTACGAATGTTCTGCCTTTGTTATGTTTGCAACACACACTATGTTTATCTTATTTCTTTAGAGAGAAAAATAAACCGCTTAATCACCAAATCTACAAGAAGTGTACACCGCACGGTAGAGTATGGTACTGTTCCAGACTATGGGGTATAAAATGGTTACATGCACGCATATGTGGTTGGGTACGGGTGCAAGGGGCAATCAGGTCAAGACCTTGGTCCATTAGGTACAGAGAGTCTTACTTAAGACTGGTGGCCCCTAATGGGAGAAGAAGATCAGAAGGCAAGAGGAAAGTTCAGCCAAAAGGTGCTTAAATACAAGGTGGTGGAGGATTTGTCAATTGGAAATACAGTGGTACCTCGGGTTACATACGCTTCAGGTTACATATGCTTCAGGTTACAGACTCCACTAACCCAGAAATATTACCTTAGGTTAAGAACTTTGCTTCAGGATGAGAACAGAAATCGTGCTCTGCTGGCACAGCGGCAGCGGGAGGCCCATTAGCTAAAGTGGTGCTTCAAGTTAAGAACAGTTTCAGGTTAAGAACGGACCTCCGGAACGAATTAAGTATGTAACCAGAGGTGTCACTGTACTGAGGTGTTACTGTTTCTTTTCAAGGAATCTATGAAAATGCTGTGGAATCTGCAACATGCCCTGCTATTCCAGGAAGCTATAAAACAAGCTGACGATGGCTAGAGTGCCAATGGCATAAGACTTACTGAGAAGATGAACGGAGAATGAAGGGACATTCCGTGGAGCACACAACTGTACTTATCATGAGGCGGTGGGGATGGAGGAAACAAAGAATCTCTTCAAGTACCAGTTACCTGGAATTCTCTTTCATCCCTGCAGCCAAAGATGACACCACATCTTCCCATTCCATGGCTGCTGCTATGTCTGCCTGTCCTGGACCCACCTCACTTCTCACCTCCCTCATCATGCCAAATTGGGCAATGGTATCTTCAGAGGCATCCAAGTCAGCACAGGCTGGAATGCCTAAAGAAGGCACCAAGGTATAGTACATAAGGTACCAAGGTATAGTACATAAGGTATAGTACATAAGGGAACATCCCATCCTCAGACTTAAAAGATGGGGGGGGGGTCTTGCCCAGAGGCATTTCCACATAGGGATCAGCACCTGGAGTGCACAGGCCCAATCATGGGGTACCAACTTAGTTCAATACGTGATGATTAAGTTTGGAAGGAGGGAGTTGTGTGTGTGGTAACAGGACTTAGCAGCAGTCAATGGAATAGGAGGCAATACAAATTTGTCTTTTACCTGTCACCATGATTTCTGTAGCTATTCCACTGTTTATCTTACACAAATTCCAAACGCAATCTCTATGTGATTATTTATAAATATTTATAAAGCACTCACATTATAACATATCAGAGCAGTGTTCAGAAAGGGAAAAATAAGCAGTAAATATACACCCAAAGTGATAAATTTAAAATAAGAGCAGAAAACTAGAAGATGATCAGTGGATGATATTTAAGAATTTAATTCAAAAAAGCTTGGGTTAATTATTTCTAAAAGTTATGCCTGTACATGATACATCTAAATATAAAAGATGTTAATGTAACTATACTTTAATAAGGAACAAAACAGCCAACAGAATTCACAAAAAGTGAGAGTGGGGGGGGGATAAAACTTATGGTCCAGTAATGGGGCATATTGGTCCTGGGAATTACAAAAGGCAGTGGAATCTTTACTGAGCTGAAAGCTCCCACATATATAAATATTTGCCTGTAACATACATGTGCCTACGGTGAATGTCTAAAATTTAGTGTTATTATTAACAATTAAATATCTACAATTCCAGATCAGTTTTGCAAATGTCTAAAAACTGAGAGGCACCTTGGTGAATGTTGAACAGAAATATGCTCAGTCGACATTCACTGGTATATGACCAAAATGTGAAGAAACTAAGTTGTAAGCCATTTTTGAAGTATTTATATGGCAGGACGGCCTATTAATTCTTCAAAAATATCCATTTTCAGATATGTATGGCCAGGCATCTGGGATTATCAGCATTCACATGTGAATGTTGATACAGGTGAAGAGAAGCAAGCTTAAAAATACCTTAACTTTCTATTTTGCCTGAAATGGAGTTTATGCAGCTTTAAACTTTCACATACCGATGCAGAAGTGGATGGACTTTTTAAAAAGTCTGTCAGTAACAGGGACAAGTCTACAGTATCAGTTTTTGCCAAACTATCCTGGGTTTTCAGTGTCCTCTCCTAGTCAAAGGGCGAAGTTCTCTTATGAAACTAAGTAGCTGGCCTAAAGTATGGCTAATTGCCGTAAAGAATACATGAGCAGACAAAACTAGGTTAATATATCCAAATTGCATCTTTTTATCATATAAAACAGGGTTAAGAGGGCAGTTGTGGAAGAAGCCAACACAGGATTATTAGTTTGCCTTTCCTTGTTCATTTATTCAATCAGATCAGAGAGGCAGGTCAAGAAGAAGTTACCCTTTAAAGATTAATAAAGAGTCTAGTGGCACCTTAGCACCCAAGTTTAATGTGACATAAGCTGTCATTGGATTGAGTTCACTCCATCAGAGTGTTATCCTCAGTTGGAAGATGTGCACACATGCACACATTTACACACACACTTACTTGGGTTGGTTACAAGTATGTGCCTGAACCCACATGTGTGTCCAAGCACACACATGGATTCATTTTTTGATGCTTTGTTACAACAAACTAACATGGGTAGTCCATTTTCTCAAAGTGCTGAACTTTTCTTTCTTTTTTTTACAAGGAGACCACCTAAGTCAGAAGAAGAAGACAACCTTCCTGCTGCAGCTGAAAAACCCAAGGGTGATAGTAGAACTCACTGAGCATAATTAAGCATGAATCACATTTTATCACCGCTAGCTCTCTCTAACAATAGGTTGTTGTAAAATCTATTCAGCTTGCAAAGTAACAGCAGAATGAATACTCATTAGCCCTCTTCTCTGAGATGAAAAGAAACAGAGAGAGAAATAAGTGTGGTCATTTTCTGTGAAAGTAAACTATCATAGAGTGCAGTTCCTGAGGGCCACCCCGCAGCTTATGGCTTCAGTGTGAACACGCGGTAAAATAGATGCACTCAGCCAATTTCAAATGTGGTGGTGTACATTGGGTCTACCTGTGTACACACCCTTAATCTGCAATGTGCGGAACAGCTCTCCATCATAAGGCAATTTTCTAGTGAATTAGAATCATTAATGTGATATTATTATTACACTAGACTGACTGCTTGATCTTAGGAAGACCACTGCACAGAGTTAGGAGGCTGCCTATTTTTAGCATGCTCCTTTACTACTCAGAAAAGCTGCTCCTTAAATCTTTTCTATGCAAGCTCAGCTTTATAGTAAAAGGGAAAATACAAAATTACACGGAGCTACACACAGATCCCCCACGGGGTGGGGTGGGGGTGGGGAGACATGAAAGCTACAAAAAGACTTTTAAAAGAGGTGTTCAGTATAGCAGCCCACAGTTTCCAAGGTGACAAAGTCAAATTAATTACATGCAAGTGAACACATAAACACAGCTGCTTAAAACAAAAGCATGGAAACCACAGCGAAAGAGCAAAGCAGATTTTGAGACTTTTAGTAAAGGTGGGCATCACGTTTGTAAAAATAAAAATAAAAAATGAAATGAAATAAAGTTCGAAGGATCAAGTTACTTTCACAGAGAAGATCAGATCAAATGAAAAGAAATGGAAGGTAATATTTTAAGTCTCACTCACCGAAGTCTGACTGCAAATCCTTTTTCAGCCCGCAAAGCATGTCTGCTATTTAACTATCAAAGCATTCAGCTAAATTGCAAGAGGCACTCCTCTCTCTCCGCCTTGGATGGCACTGGAATCACATTACAGCAGCCTCGCTCTCTCCGGCAGTCTCCCACAAGACAGTAGGGCTCTACTGCACTCCTCCACTTAAACGGAACAAAGTCCTATTGACTCTACCAGATTGACACCCAACAAATGGTACACTCCCGTGTAGTAAAATTTAAAACCGTTGTCAGTCGGGATCTCTAGATTTGGAATGCAGATAATTATTGTTATTATCTTAAAAAGGTGAACAGATCTTGATACGTTCCCTTAAGAAAATCCAGCAACAGATCTGTCAAACTGGCTGGCCACGAGGCAGAACAGGGCAAGAGTTTCTAAACGCAGGCATTAATGAAGAAATTCTGGTTGAAGGTGAAGCAGCATGGGCAAAACTGAAGACTGGCTCCCCAGCTTCCGCAGAGAAGGCAAAGCAGGCACTTCACTCCCATCTGCATTCCAACTTAGCGCACGCTGGGGGAGAGCAGCCATCAGCCCACATGGGTGGTGCGCTCTCGTCTTTCAGGCAGCCTTTTGTTGCTCTCACCCAGGAAAAGAAAATCCATAGCAGTCCCCAGAAGGCTGGATTTAAACCTCTTCCTTTGTGTTTCTAAGCCAAAATGCTTTCCCTCCCTTTGCTCAATCCAGCGGCACAAGCGCAAGCTGGAAGGCAGCAGTGATGACTTAAAGGTAAAAGAGAAGGAGAAAAATATTATAAGTTGCAGGCAGCAACATTGTCAGAGTGAGGGAGAAGACTGCAAGTGCTGCAATACTGCTCCACGCCACTCTTTGCTCGCTCTCGCTCTCTCCACCCCCTTTGTCAACCGACAACTGCACGGCCTCCAGCACCTTTCAAGGCAATGTCAAGCTGCTGCCAAAGCATTATGCTCCCTTCTCTAAACACAGAGCCAGGGCACAGGAGCATGAAGCAGCAGTTCTGTCGCCTGATAACTCAATTTAACCCTTCTTCGCAGGGCAAACTGGCCAGCCGTGTGCAGATTCGCATTGCCTGCTTTGCAGACTTCGGATGGTAGGCAGCTAAGTTTTACTCAGAATAAATCCTCTTATATCAATGCACCTAATGTAGTTATGTTCATTAATTTCAATGGGCCTGCTCTGAGTAAAATATAGTTGAATACCACTCTGCAGAGTCTGTCTGCCCATTAATTATAATAAGCACCAAAAAGCTGAATATGGACTCTAATATGAAGGAGGGGAAAGGAGCAGACACAATTGCACCTTGCTGGACAACAGAGATTGCAGTGTTGAACCTTGGGGAAGTAGCGGTATTTCTCCCTAGAAGTACCAACTGGCACAGGAAGATATTTGAACGGTGGTCACTCAAGCTGAGGCTACTAATCCATTTTAGTCTTAAGAGTTAGGACTACAAGGGTCATGCAGGAATCTTTTCCCTAACGTAGGGCTTGAACCCACAAACTTGAGATTAAGAGTCTCAAGCGTTACTGACTGAGCTACATATATTCAATGCACTGATTCAATGTGCCAGACAGTTGCGCACCACTCCACCTGCATATGCCCATAGTCTATGGCTTTGCAAATGCTTGCAATCTTTATGGAGAAAACGCTGCACTGGGTTGCTGAACTGGTTTCAGTACTAAAATGTCATGGACATGCAAAGAAGAAAAGATGAACTTTCTACCTGACTGCTTGCCACAACCTCACAGGAATACAGAGGCACTGGCTTCTCTAGAGGATGGGGGGGGGGGGCGCCTGACGCGCCATCGCAAGGAGCCAGCAGATGGAGCCAGATGCCTTCTGAAAATTGAGGGGGCCCAATTTGGCCCCAATACATTCATGGTGCCGAAACTACCTTGGCCCCTAGGAGCTGACGCCCATGTAGAAATATATTTAGCTGCCTTATGCTGAGGCACACCATTGGTCCATCTATCTAAGTATTGTTTACACTGACCCACAGCAGCTCTCCAGGATTTCAGGCAGGAATCTCTCCCAGCCCGAACTGGGGAGGTCAGGGATTGAACCTGGGATGTTTTTTTCATGCAAAGCAGATGCTGTTATCATTCAGCAACGATCCTTCTACAGAATGACCAAAAGTGCTCTGAGCCCAACAAGTGTATTTGGAAATCTGGCGCCTGGATAGCTCAGTTGGTTAGAGCGTAGTGCTGATAACACCAAGGGTGCAGGTCCGATCCACATATGGGATTGCAGGGGGATGGACTAGATAAATATCGGGGCCCTTTCCAACTCTACACTTCTATGATCCTATGATTCTATGATCTCTTACTGCCCAGTTTAAGGAAAGCAAACCTTGAGGTTGCTACACGTACAAAAAGTAGCAAGGCAGATTCTGGAGAAGAGTTGATATTGCAAAAGGAAGGCACAGATCCGAGGCAAGCCCGCAAGGCCACCCTGCAAGGCCACCCTGCACGGTCCTGTCTTTCCACACTTCATAACATATTGGCCACAATCTGACCAAAGTTAACACTTTTTATGTCATATTGATTTTTTGAGAGAGCCGAGCATATACTTAAAATCTCTCACTGAAACCAGAGTGACATAAAATTGCTCGACTTTGGCTTGCTTGTGTCTATAATAAATGGCTGGACGTTGTGCTATCCGACTGCCCCTTTTGTCTTCCTTTAGGATAGGCTTGAGGGGAAGAGGTTCAAGAAGGCACATTCCAGCCAGTTCTTTATTTAAAGATCAGACAGCCAGGGATTACCCAGCCCAACATTCTTGACGTTCACTGTCCTGCTATTCATGCCCAAGCATTTCCCATTCATGATGTGCTTCAGAACAGGAAGCCTGAGTTTTTAATAACACTGAATTCTTATAACGCTACACCAATACGCCCAAACTCACGCTAATGAATCCAATGCAGTGTGCTAAAAATAAAATGGTGTGGGGAGAAGACCCTGAAAATGGGGTGATGAAGATGTTTGATTGCATAACTGGTAAAGTTTCCCCTTTGAAAGTTAGCATGGGTAGAACGGTGGAAATGTTGTACAGTGGTACCTTGGGTTACATACGCTTCAGGTTACATACGCTTCAGGTTACAGACTCCGCTAACCCAGAAATAGTACCTCGGGTTAAGAACTTTGCTTCAGGATGAGAACAGAAATTGTGCTCCGGTGGCGCAGCAGCAGCAGGGGGCCCCATTAGCTAAAGTGGTGCTTCAGGTTAAGAACAGTTTCAGGTTAAGAATGGACCTCCAGAACGAATTAAGTTCTTAACCCGAGGTACCACTGTATTATGCATTTAAATAAATAAATAAATAAATAAATAAATAAATAAAGCTAGTGATAGAGATTGTACAAGACAATGGCCACAAATGGGAGGTGCAAATTTTTGTCTTCATTAGACATGGGAAGTCTCTTTCTTTAACAAAATGGAGAAATGGAAGAACCGTGCTGAGTACTGTGTCCAGTTCTGGGCACCACAGTTTAAAAAGGATACTGACAAGCTGGAACATGTGCAGAGGAGGGCAGTCAAGATGATTAACCTACTGGGAACCAAGCCTTATGAGGAATGGTTGGAGGAGCTAGGTATGTTAAGTCCAGAAAAGAGGAGACTGAGAGGAGACACGATAGCCATCTTCAAATATCAAAAGGGCTGCCACAAGGAAGATGGAGCAAGCTTGTTTTCTCCTGCTCTGGAAGGTAAGACCTGAACCAATGGATTCAAGTTACAAGAAAGGAGATTCTGACTACATATCAGGAAGAACTGTCTGACAGTAAGAGCTGTTGCTGTTCAACAGTGAAACTGACTCCCTCAGAAGGTGGCAGGCTCCTTGCTTGGAGGTTTTTAAGCAGAGGTTGGATGACCACCTGTCATGTATGTTCTAGTTGAATTCCCTGCAATGCAGGAGGTTGTACCTGATGATCCCCGGGATCCCTTGCAACTTTGCAATTCTATAATTCAATGGTGATGTGGATACTTCCCTTTCTCGCACAATAACCTAAAAATAGCAGGTTATGGCTTTAAATTGCTCCAAATATTGGTAATCATCATGCATGGAGGCTCATGACATGATTCGGGCTATGCCACCAGAGGCTTCTGTTCTTTTGCCATTTGCCTTAATACTTGATTTCAATATAATGGAGAGATACAAATACAGAATAACCCACATGTATGCAGTAACACCTGCCTCCAAATGAGGGTTGTGAAGTGTTTGCCAGACCTAATGAATCTTTATGTATTTATTTACTCTAACATTCATATCATGCCTTTCTTCCATCATGGAACACAAGGCAGCATGCATAAAATTCTCAAGCAGTCACCATCCAATGACTGACTAGAATCAGACCTGCTTAACTTCAGCAAGGTAGTGTCTTCACATGCTTTTAGGTCATACCCTGGAACCCATTAAAAAAAGAAGATGATGAAACAGACAATTGTAACAGACAGTGGAAATTAACCACAACACTATGATTTATGCACAGTAACATCTCTACCTTGGGACAAAGTCACTTGCTTAGGGTTCAAGTGCCTTGAGCAGAAAGCTAAAATTAGCAAAATCAAAAAACCAAAGCACACAGAGGAGAATTATACCCTGTAATTTGTTATTAAGGGGAAAACACCACAGTTGTCTTTGATAAATGCAATTAGTAACAGAGTTGAGTTTGCAATTAGAATCCCTTCACACACAGCATTTCCCAAGAAAAATCATTGGGTGAGCTTTGGAAATTTTTCAGAAAAAAGGATACTGCTGGAAACTGCTAATTTGGAGTAGGTACAATGCATTAGTTAAAAATGACAATGAAGTTGATTGTATTAATAGTGTACCCTTTTTAATCTTGCACACCCACACACACCCACACACCCACGTACACCCACCCAATATATGCATTAAGAAACCTGAGCCATCATGGTAATTGGATTAAACATAGTAGGTATGTTTTTTCCCCTTTGTTGTTGTTGTTGTTGTTTAGTCGTTTAGTCGTGTCCGACTCTTCGTGACCCCATGGACCAGAGCACGCCAGGCACCTCTGTCCTCCACTACCTCCCGCAGTTTGGTCAAACTCATGTTGGTAGCTTCGAGAACACTATCCAACCATCTCGTCCTCTGTCGCCCCCTTCTTGTGGCCTCCATCTTTCCCAGAATCAGTGTCTTCTCCAGGGAGTCTTCTCTTCTCATGAGGTGGCCAAAGTACTGGAGCCTCAACTTCACGATCTGTCCTTCCAGTGAGCACTCAGGGCTGATTTCCTTAAGAATGGATGCGTTTGATCTTCTTGCAGTCCATGGGACTCTCAAGAGTCTTCTCCAGCACCATAATTCAAAAGCATCAATTCATGTTTTTTTCCTAGCATACCTCAAACTAGCCCTTCAATTAACTTTTGTATAATGAATGTCCAGAGTGAGGTTATAGCAACACAGCACATTGTGAATGAGAAACCTGTAGCCCTCCAGATGTTGATGGACTGCAATTCTCATTGTCCCTGACCACTGGCCATGCTAACTGGGGTTGATAGGAGTTGAAGTCCCACAACATCTCAAGCACCACAAGTTCCCCATTTCTGTTCTGTTCGAATGACAGTCCAGTCCAAGACCAGCTAAAACAGAAAGATAAAATTAGTAAGAAGGAGAACAAAGGCCCTTCAACAAATACCACCTGGGCAGCAGACCGAACAGGTCTGTTAGGGTGAGATTTCTTGTATTTCTATTTAAACATTAAATATAATTTTGAGAAGTTAGTTCTGAATTTACACATATGAAGTCAATTGCATTCAGATCTGCCCCATCTTTTGTGCGTGTAGGACTTCAGGGTGAAGCTCTAGGTTCATGCTTGCTCCAGAAGCAGGAC